ATTTATTGAAAAAAATAAGTGATTGAAGAAGTACATACACTGGGAAGAAGAGACCAAACAATCTCGCTGACAGAATTACAAATAATTTACGTAGATGCTGCACCCTCAAAAGAGGTTGAGCATAACTCTCCATTCTTTAAGTGTTTGGGCTACACACAGTAACTTCCTTCCAGAGTACAGTGTGGAAAAGGGTTAGTGGGGAAGAGTTACTTACAATGGAGAAACATAACAAACACTACCTCAGCCAAGTGATTAAGATCATCACCAACAATGCTAAGTCATGTTGATAGACTGTATCTTCAATTTGATACAATTAAAATAGCACTTACCATAACCCCAGTCCAATATGAAAAAAAAAAATGAGACAAATCCTAATTTAGGGATATTCTACAAAATACCTGGTAAGTCTTCCTCAAAACCACCAAGGCCATCAAAAACAAAGAAAGTCTAAGAAATTGTCACAGCATGAAGAAGCCTAAAGAAACAGAAGAAGTAACATGGTCTCCTGGATGGTATTTGGGAACAGAAAAAGGACATTAGAAAAAAAAAAAAAAAACTAAGTATATTATCTGAATAAAATATGGGCTTTAGTTAACAATAATGTACCATATTGGTTCATTAATGATGACAAGTATCCTGGATAATTATGAGATGTTAAAAATAGAGGAAACTGTATAGAGTGTATTGTTCTATAAATTTAAAATTGTGTTAAAATTACACATTTATTTTAAAAATTACACATAAAAGATTACTAATTCTAAAATATAAAAAATTACAAATTGAAAAGAAAAAAACAACTCAAAGAGAGGGAAAAGCTATTAACAGGATACCTACAAGACAGAAAATCCAGATAGCCACAAAATTTAACAAACTAAAAGAAGATATCTAATAAAAATTAAAACATGATACTCTTTATAACCATCAGTTTAGCCTAAAATTAAAAGAGTAAAAATGTCCAGTGTTTACTAAGATGCAAAAAAATGTACACTCTCCTACATCGTTGGCTGAAGTGATTGCTATTATCTTTAACAAAGCATGAATAATATCTGTCACAATAAGAAACATATATACACCTTTATCTCGCAGTTTTACTTTCCCAGTCTATCCTAAGGCAGTAAAAGCACCACAATGAAAAGACACATGCATTGTTACATTGCAATATTGTAAAACAACATTTTTGGTGGTGAAAAGTTAGAAACAAACTTAATGTTCATCAATAGGGTAATGGTTAAATAAATTATGGTACATATAGACTATAAATATTACGCATTAAAAAGTATGACATATGCCTATTAACCTAGAGAGATGCTATGAAGTTATTTTAAGGGATAAAAGAAAATTGCAGAGTAGTATCTATAGTGTGATTGTATTTTTAAAACCCCCTCTACGTGCCTCTAAGTTTAAATATTTTTGGAAGCCTGCGGACCTGGCTGTTAACATCTGTTATCACAGTAGAATGGGATGCAGCTATAAATTTAATATCCTCTCTCTCTCTCTCTCTCTCTCTCTCTCTCTCTTTCTCTCTCTCTCTCTCTGACACACACACACGCTAAAATAAAACTTCAAGCATGATTGCCATATGTTATATTTAGCTGTGGGATGTTCAGGAAAAATGAATGGCAGAGCTACAGCAACTGACTTACATGATCACTGGCAGCATCTCTGTAACACAGTAAAATGAGAAGATAATCGCCTTGAGATCACAGTAACCTACTTTTTACATTAAGAGAAAAAGAACCAAGGTGTTTATTTTTATCAGTGACCTACATGAGAGAAATGAGCCCAGGAAGTCTATATTTGCTCTCATAGGTGAGACTGCTAACTTCCTAGAAGTTGGCAAGAGTTCACATCAACTTGTAATAATTCAGCAAAATAGCATTTTAGAAAATAAAATGAAGTCTCACACATAAATGTATCAAATCATACACAGGAGAATCCAAAACAATTCAGGTGATGTTGGCAACCATGAGACACGTCTGAAACCAATTCAATCAGCAAGAGTAGCAGGATGCAATGAAAAGACACAAACCCAACTGGGTAAGTCTAGGAGGAAAAAGCCAGAAAAGAGAAAATGTACCAGAACATGTTAAAACCACTCAATTTCTTCTACACCCAACACAGTCAAAGCTTTATTCAGCCACACAAAGGAAAGATGGAATCTGAAGCTACTCAATCCAATCTTAAATATATGGCTATACTTACAATCAAACACTGTTTGACACAAGCAGCGTCAATGAGTATGTTTTCACAGAAGGGAAGGAGGGAAAGAGAGACAATTAAAAGTAAAATTACAAAAGAGAATGTTAAAAGTCTGCAATAGGGAAATAGTCATTTTCTCTTTTAAAAAATCTTATTGTTACATAGCAGTGACATGTATTTATGGGGTAGATGTGATACTGTCATACATTCATGCAATGTATAATAATCAAATTAGGCTAACTGAGGTATCCATCACCTCAAACATTTGTCATTTCTTTGTCATGACAACATTTCAAATCTTTTCCTCTAGCTGTTTTTAGAAATACAATAAATTACTGATAACTATAGTGACCTTACTGTGTTATCAAACACTCCAGCTTATACCTCCTATCTAACTACACTTTTGTACCCACTAACCAACCTCTCTTCATTCTCACCTCCCACTTTTCCCAACCTCTGATAATCACAATTCTACCCTCTACCTCTATGAGATCTACTGTTTTGGCTCCCACATGTAAGTGAGAAAGTGTGATAAGAAATAGCTCATCTTGGCCGGGCGTGGTGGCTCACGCCTGTAATCCCAGCACTTTGGGAGGCCGAGGCGGGCGGATCACGAGGTCAAGAGATCGAGACCATTCTCGCCATGATGAAATCCCGTCTCTACTAAAAATACAAAAAAATTAGCCTGGCGTGGTGGCACGCACCTGTGGTCCCAGCTACTCGGGAGGCTGAGGCGGAAGAATCGCATGAACCCAGGAGGCGGAGGTTGCAGTGAGCCGAGATTGCGCCACTGCACTCCAGCCTGGCGACAGAGCAAGACTCCGTCTCAAAAAAAAAAAAAAGAAAGAAAGAAATAGCTCATCTTCATTTGAAAGACTATGAATATAGAAAGGCAGACCTTCTTGAGTCTTCATGGACCGAAAAAACAGAAGGAAAGTAATATAAATTTTTATAGCCAACCTGGTTAGCACAGATCTTGCAAATTGAAGGAAAGATGTCCCAGTTGTAGTAAACCTATAGAGTGAGAGTTTTATGAGCAAGCTTGAAGCATATCCACTGGACTTCTTAGTAAGTTCTCTAGACATATGACTGTAAGACAAGATGCTAAAATGAACAGGTACAAAGGAACACACATGCCAGATAAGTATATCGGTGTATTTCAGAATAGTGTATTTCAGAATAGAGCTTCAGAAATATTAAGATGACAGGCAAAAGTCAGGCCTCAGAAGCGGCAAAATTACAGTACTTTTTGTAACCATGCCTGTCACATGAAGGGTACATCTTAACTCCAAAGATCTCAGGAAGAAACAGAAAGTGTTTTAAAAGGCTTACTTACACTCAAGGCATTTTCTGAAGCAAAAGAATAAAGTAGAAAAGAATAATATACTGTGACCAGACAAAACAAAAATTAACATTAAGAGATTATTAGCAAGTGTATCCACTGTGGCTGAAAGACCACTTTTGGTTCTTGTCATAGACCCCTCAAAATGCTTGGAAAACAACAACAACAACAAAACCAAAACATGAACTTTTCCCTAGAAACTTTAAGTCTCCCTCAATGAGGTAATTTTGAGAGAAAAGGATGTGAGGGCAAGGCAAAATAATGGATGGAGTGCTGGAGCAAAAGTGACAAACCTTAGGTTCTATAATCTTGGCTTTGCCCCTGATTCACTGTGGCACCCTGGAGTCTTCTAGAACATTCTCTACAACATGAGAGGGGTGAAGTATCCCATTCCAATACTTTAAGTGCTATAACTGAAATGTATTTTATTTTGCTTTAAATGGAAATTTGCTTGTGCTTATGGTTCTGAGTTTGAGCCAGTTTCCCATATTTTGCTTCTGAAAATAAGGCTATAATAAAATCTTCATTACAAATTCTAAAATCTTCATTAAAAATAAAATCTTCATTACAAAATCTTTATTACGAATATTTTAAATTCTCACCTGGAACTGCAATGGTCTAGGCAGGTGTTTATAAACTTGTTTTATAATGCACTTTGATCAACAGGTTGGTTACACAGAAGACTGATGTACAAAATAGAAAAGCAGGTGCTGTGTTGGTGAAGATAAGAGAAGCTGGGGTGTGGAGAACAGGAACAAGGGCTACAAAAGATCAAGCTCTGCTCATTCAACTTCCCCGCTGTGTGTTTGGAGAGGTCCCTGTGGGCTGCTACTGAAGCTCTAAGACTCCTAAGATTAACAGTGAAAGTCAAGGTCTGTGAGAAGTTACCACAAACAAGTGATGTGGGGACACACATTTGGCAACAAAGGTTGAGGAACACAACTCTGTTTAAACCACTGCAAAACCTCCATTTCTACAATGGGGGGACTAACACCATTTGGCCTTCAGTTGGTAACAATCACAAATGCATATACAGGACTGAAAAGGCCGCTACAGTGATTTCGTACAGTTTTCCAGGTCACCCAAAAATGTGCTCATATGAATTTTTTGTTTAGAGAACTATCAAAATGAAAATATAAACATAAAACAAAAACCATGTAAGAAATGCAGACCCATAAGAGTATGCTTTTCACTCGACAGAGCTCCTCTAAGCCCTTTTTGATTAAAACTGATTTCAGAAAGGGCAATGCAATCTCCATTTTCTTTCTTAGAAGTCTCTAAGATACATATTACATCTTTGAAAAGTCACTTTACTGAATTACCGGCACAGACTTTAATAATGAATACATCAAGAATCTCAGCTTCAGCCTAATCTATGCCTCTACTGGGATTCAGCTGCTCTTGGGCCTTTAGGGAGCAAGGGATTGCTTGCTCCCACCCAGAGCCCACCGGAGGCCTATTTGCATGAGTCAATTTGTAGGAAGTCTGGTGTGGAAGCAATAAAGGGCTATGTGAAAGTCAAAATATGGAGTCGCAAGGCCTGTGGATTTCTCTAAGCCATAGGGAGAGAGAGGTGGTAGGCCAGTGGTTCCTAGAGGCACAGGAGAACATCTAAATAAAGAAGTCTCTCACTCAACCACATTTATGGAGTGCTTACTATACATTCCATGTCTTGTTCTAGGCAGAGGCAATAGAGCAGTGAAAGAGCCATTTTCTGCCTCTGACAGGAAGGAGAATAGTATATAAATAAGTTGTACATCATAACGAGTGCTATGAAGGAAATAAAGAAAGCGTGTGGTTAAGTGGGGACAACTTTGAATAAAATATAAAGGGAAGACCTCCACAAGGAGGGACATGGGAGCTAACAAGGAAAGATGAGAAAATGGAGTGAGAAGGAGAAGGACAATCATGTCCAGGAAATAGCAAGAACACAAGTCCTATAGCAGGAGAAAGCTTGGCCCCTGTGGGGGCCAGAAGGCCAGCAGTGTAGTGGGAGCCTGTTGAGATCAGCTGGTATAACAGGCCAGGCCAGGTTCCTCCCATGCCACAAAGGTTTGCATTCAATCCTCAGAGTGATGGGAACCCACTGGATGATGTTAAACAAATAATTTATTTTACTTACTGCTTTAAAATATCGCTGCTGTGAAAGGATGAAGTATACAAAGCAAGAGTGTATAAAGGGAAAATAGAATTATCTTGCAGTCAGCCAGGAAGAAAATGAGACCCAAGAAAATGGTCTGGGACCAGGGGTGGCAGTGAGAATGAGACAAGTAAATAGTTTCAAAGTTTATTTTGGAAATAGGGCTACACAATTGCTGATAGGTTGGTTATGGGAGGTAATGGGAAAAGCAAAATCAAGAATGACTCCTAGGTTTTAGCTTAAGTAATTGGATGTATGGTGGTGGTTTAGGTAAGGAGTAAGGGAGAAGTTGGCACAATCTTAGGAGAATAACATGAGATGTTGGCTGATGTTACCCAAACATTAGCTGGAGGTTTCCTAACTCTTAAGACCTAAGTAAGACAACCTTGAGATCTCAGATCTATAGCCTAGGGAGGAGTAGACTGATTCCCAGATTTATTTTTTCCTAAGGGATTAGGATCTCACCATTGTCTTACGTTTCTGCCTTCTGTGTCCTCACCTCCAACCTCCATTCATCCCTCTCAGCCTTTCACCTATTTTGTTTTTCTTTTTTTAATTTAAAAAATGTGTGTGTCTTCTTACCTGGTGCATTTATTCATATAGAATCATATGTAATCTCACAAAGCTGGTGGACTGATTTCAACAAAGCACAATTAGTTATAAGGGATGCCTCAAAATACCACCCCTGGGTAAAAAAGCAAAGGTAATCAAGTTTATTAATTATAATTAATTAACTATAATTAATTATAATTAATACTTTTTAGAAATAGCTTCATAGTATTTGAAAGCATATAAATTTTTCTATTTGTCAAGGCCTTGTTTCATTTTATAAATAATTTCATGTTTTTATTAGAGTCTTTTTCACCAAATTCATACTGTTCTTAATATGTATAATATAGAAAAATATCTCTGATGTCAGTTTAAGCCTAAATTATTTTTAAATGGATCAGGAAATAGTAGTGAGTACTTTATTTCATGCATTACTGTGTCACTGATGATTACTCTTATGTCAAAAGTGAACAATTTCTTCAAATTATTGAACAATTTCTTCCCAATAAAGCAGTAATTCTTATGCCAAAAGTGAACAATTTCTTCATATTACTGAACAATTTCTTCCCAATAAAGCAGAGATTCATGACAGTTCCTGATGGGAAGCATGTCCTATTGTAATTCCTTCTTCATTCACCTGGTGCAGCATTAGCCAGACACCCAGGAGCAGAGAATCCCAGCTTCTTGTGACAGACTTCCAGAGTAAAACACTCTCTTGTTGAAGCTTGCCTCTCTCACCCACCAGGTTCATCAAACAAATCCACTCAAGCCTAGCCTTCTCTGAATTTTTATTCACCCACGTTAATAAAGATCTGGGGGCTCGGCAAGACCATAACCAGATTCACATTCTATTTATAATCTGTAGACATTTTAAATGAAAGCATATAAAACTATCTTGGAGGATATTAAGAATAAACATGCACAGTATATCTGGTCTAGATTACATCTGACTTTTAACAAAAATATTTATCATACACCTGTAATAGGCCAGAAATTCTATTCGCTAAGGATAGAGAAGAGTGCAAAACGGACATGGTCCCTATCATCAGGTAGTCAAGGGTCTCAAGGTCTTTGATTTATTATTCCAGCTGCAAGAGAAACCAACATACTTGACTTAGCCTGGGTCTCCTGTAAGGCTTTTAAAAGACAATGAAAATTCAAATTGAAGCTCTATCAGTGGCCCTATTTTCACAGCTTTTCAAGAGAAGCCTCATGTTAAATGAAATAATCCATCTTAGGGTGTCCTATACATGACCTTGTGCAATGCAGGCACTGAGGGAGCAACGTTCATCCCACCGGTTTTTGCGGGGATCCATTTTAACCAAGTTTTACTGTCCTTCTAAACTGGGGTTGTATAAGATAGTTAAGCTCTAATGTCTAAAGGCATCAGTTAATGGAGTGAATTAATTCTCTTCTATGCGTCCAGAAGGGTACTACCTATGTACCACTCTCAGGGTACAAGAAAACAACCACTGAAGTCATTTTCAGTAGTGCTTGCTTCTCTCATGTGAACCTCAGCTGAAGCTGAGAAAGGTTAGAGGATAGTGTTGCTTTCACCTTCTATTTTAAAAAGCAAGGTTAAATTGAGGGGTAAATCTAATTTGGTAAAGGCACAGACCTTAGAACAACAATAAAAAATAAACACAAAGCCAAAAGGTCTCTAGAGAACTAAGGCAGCAAAGAGGAAAGTTAGACTCACTGAAGGTGAGTGCTCTAAGCAAAACATAACTGTGCAGAGTTCAGGGCCAAGGAAACATCCATCAGACTAAAATCAAACACAGGGCAGTTCAAACCAAAACAAATGCCCCCGTTCACAAAAAGAGACAGGCCAGAAAAGTTTAGAAAATAATGCTTCCGTGTACTCCTCAGGAGGCTTCAAAACACTTGATACAACCTGCTAAATGCTCAAATACCCTACAATGTTCTAACTACATGAAGGGAACAGGGCATGCCACTAAAAATCTCAAGACAGAGAAGTTATCCAGATGAGAAAGGTTTATGTCAGAAGTTAATTTGAAATTCCAAAAAGTACTTAAAATCATTTCTTTTAATTACTTAGTGTCTCTTTCCCAGACAGGAAATTACCTAACTCAAGGACACAGAAACTCATCATGGCCTTATTCAAAGCTGACAAAGACACAACAAAAATTAATCTGTACAGACTCATTAATACTGAAGTTAACATGTAAATGCCTACATCTATATAGTTCCATTGCATGAGCCCCACAGGCAATAATTCATAATACCATATAATTCATATCACATATGAATTATAATTCATAATGCCATATAATTCATATCATTACCAACAGGGCTTACCACAAATTGCTTTAAGCAAGTGATGTAAAAATTAGGTTTATATTTAATGCACTATTGTAAGTTGCACCAATTGCCAGTGTTAACACTGGAGGCACATGAAGCCAAAAAAGCTTTTAAATGCTTGGAAGGAGATTTTTAAGGAAATTGGGAATAAAAAGAAAAGAAAATTTTTTTTCACTTATAAGTTAATATTCTGTAGAAAGACAATAAAGCACACTCTAAAGAAAATATATTTGGACTTCTCAGTCAAGGGCAGAAGAAAACAGGCTGCTCTTCCCTCCTCTCTCCTTCACAATTCATCAGTATAGCTAGGAGGTGTGGCTGGGATGAAGCACTCTGGCTTTTAGACACAGCAAATAGAAACATTCAAGGATATTAGCTCATTTTCAGATGAATTTACAATTCATTTTTAAAATGAACAACACCTGTCTGAACTGTCAGGTAGATTTTTAAAATGAAATAAAATAAAGCAAACAACAATAACAGTGAAAGTTGATCCCTAAGAGTATCTTTCTTCACACAACCAATGATTGAATTTCACAATTTCACAAAAATTGTAATATGTAATGATGCATCTAATAGTCTTTCCTGGCCACTCTACACATTTTAAATAAATTCAGGTAAAATTATCTTAGAGATGATTGCAAACAAAGGTGCCTATTATGCTCTTTTTAATCTGTAATTTGACTTTTAACAATAATGCTAAGTTATTCCAACATTTTTTAAAGTCCTTGGACATTGAGCTGTTCAAATACCATTGCCAACAAAGATTTGGATTGCCAGCATACTTATGCCCCTAACATACAAAAGTCATAAGTCAATAAGCCTTCAAAACACAGAGGTCCTATTTACTTTATCCTTTTTCAAGTAATTAGAAATGGTAGAGGATGGAGCCCAAGTTCTGGGTCCCACTGAATTCAAAATGTGACTTTCTAATACACTCATTTTATGATCTTAATCTCTTTATACCTTAGTTTCCTCACCTAAAAAGGGAAATAATATCTTCTGCATAGTGCTATTATGAAGATTCAAGAAGATAATTTATAAAGTGTTTTTGTACAGTTCATGGTACACAGAGATAAACAAATAATTATAACTATTGTGAAGAAATTATGGATTTTAGAATGCCATAGTTTGAAGACTTACAAATACAACAACTACCTTGGTTTTAGGAAATATTTAAGGTAGCTTACAAAGATATTTAAAATATAAAGTCACTACATTAAAATGTAAATACTAAAAAGGGGAAAAAAAGATGAGGTTTAAAAAAAGGCAAAAATATCAGAGAAGATGGGCTTAATCACTTATATATAGTATGAATCCTAAGATGGAACAATGACTTAGGAAAATAAATTAATAATCAACGGATACTAAAGCAAGACAGGAATTTTTCCTAAGAGTTTTTCAAAAGAGGACAACAAATGGAACAAAAACATCAACAATACCCTTATAAAAGATAAATTTCACAACCTATTTCTCAATATAGTTTCCCCACAAATTGCAGCTACACATTTTTTTCAGAAGTCCCATACTGAGCAACCACAAGCACTTTTTGAATCTGAGAAATCATTAATATAACATACTTTGTGCTGAGTTTGTAAAAGAATTCCCAAAGGAAAGTTTCCTGTATGGAGCAGAAATCTGTAATTGTTACCCCATCAAACAAGCACACACACTCTGTACTGATTCTTCTAAAAGAGGGTCTTCATGGAGAAAGGAGAAAGCGGGTACTTTTTGAATGAATGAAGAACTTTTCTGCAAAGAAAGCAAGAATCATACCAGAGATCATAACTGTAGGGACTCTGTAGAATTTAAATTTTAACACCTCACGCTTGTTAAACTCTGTTTTCTCTTAGTAAACAATGTTAAAACTCTGAAAATGAAAGGGACAACAAATTAGAAAGATTGCATTCCACACCCCTGTCGGTTTGGAAAGGAAAAAAGGGAAGAGAGAGGAAGTCTGTGGGAGCAGATTGAAGTAGTCCCTGGGTCAGGTGTGTCCTGGAAAAGTTGAGCAGATGGCTACAAAAAGATCTAGAAATACCTCATAGAGAGGGAGGAATAATAATATCTGACTGTTACTGACTGCTGAGCACTTTAAGCTGAGTGTATCATTTCAAGTTTACAAAAACCTTATGAGTATAGTACTATAATTACACCCTTTATGCAAATAGGAAAACAAACACAAAAATGTTAAATCATTTACTAGCGTTTCCACAGGGCTTGCAAATACAAGAGCCAGGATTCAAAGTCAGGCAGGCAAACTCCAAAGCCCTTTCACATTGCTGCACATTAGATGAAAAATCCACTCACACATCTGATCCAATGTCTCACTGTCTGAGTTACCTTTGAACTTTAAAGAGCTAACCTTTAGATGCCTGCTCCATCACTGAGAAAAATTCTTGAGGTCACTGTAGATAAGAAGTTTCAGTTATTCATATCTACCCATGAAATATGACATTTATGGAGTTCTTAATCACTGGGCTAGCAACCCAACGTTCACTCTTTAAATTTACGGGGACTTTAGACACAATTTGCTTAACATTTGTTAAGCAAAAACCTATCACCAACTTAAAAAATACACCCTGTGACTGCTTTGCTCTCAAAGGCTAACAGGCTTACAATAATATATATAGAATCAGAGTCTCATTTGGTAAGGTATGGGCAGTTATGATATGCATAAGTTGTTCTCGTGATTTAAGCTATCTTTGCCCCAACCAAGTGATAATATTTTGTTCTAAGAATGGGGGTACTCTTAAAACTTTAATCAAGGGATAAAAGAAGATAACCATCTAAGATTAGCCATTAAAGTCTGTTGCTGTCCTATTCAAATATCAAAAGACAGGGTGAACAAGGTGGACATAAAAAGATATTGAGATAAATTTACCATTATCTTCAACACACATTATTATGCATTAATGGTTGCAATAACCCTCAGTTCTGTTAAAAAAATTCATTGTTTTGTTACCACTCTTACTTATCTAGCATTTATATGAGAACAATGTTTACAGTGTTGTTGTCACTATTAAGAAATACAGGTATAGACTACTATCAATTTACTCATTAAGTAAATAACAATGTATGAAGCTTATCCTATGAATAAAACAGGCACATCCTAAAGGATAGGAATTAACAAAAAAAATGGAACAGAGTAAGGTCCCTGTCCATATATTAAGATGAAAAAAAAATTGGAAGTTATAATGAATTATAATTAAATCTGAGTCAATCATATAGTTGGATGTATTTCAAGATTTTTAAAATCCGAGAGTTGTAAAAAGGAAGAATAAAAATGTTTGAAACTTTTAGATGAGATCAGTTAGAGAAAAATAAGTGTAATAGAATTCAACTGTCTTAATGAAAGTTTCCGGAGGCATTAATAAATCCTGTCTTAGAGCTGGGCATGTTGGCATGGACCTGCAGTCTCAGCTACTCAGGAGGCTGAAGCGGGAGGATTCCTTGAGCCCAGGAGTTTGGGGCTGCAGTGCACCATGATCTCACCTATAAATAGCCACTGTGCTCCAGCCTGGGCAACATAGCCAGACCCCATCACTGAAAGAAGATAAAATAAAACAAACAAACAAAAATCCAGGTTCAATCTCTGCAATAAAATTTAGGAAATGAAAGCTTGATCTGAGCAAACATAAGATAACCTTAATGATTGGGATGATTAAATTTTGGTGAAAAAAAAAACAGGACTTTTCCAGATCTAAAATCTGAAACATCAGTCAATGAAATATTGATCATCTTTTTGACAGAACCAACTGCAGAAACTGTGTATGGAAAGAAGAGGTAACTGAATAGAACCCCAGGCCTTGTGGTGCTAAGAGAATGAGAAAGACCATAAGATAGGCAAAGCAAAGGGAAAAAAAATTCTAAGCAATTTTAAGGAAGGATAGGCTATTTCTTTCTAATATGTTTTCAGACCTTAAATAAGTGTTTTACTGTAAAGGTTTTCATTTCAAATCAGCTCTCAATGCTCCCACTTTGGGAGTTGAACAATAGGTGTATTAGTATAATAATTGAGAAGGCATTTCCATCTTGTTGAATTTGCTGTTAAAACTCTTTTGCAATGTGGGTACATACCTTCAGGTGTACCCAGTAAAAAGCCAGACTTGGAATGAACCAGCAAGTGTTGTGCTAACCTATCAAGTAAACAATCCTCCATAGATAGCCCTGAGTTGATTTTTCCATCAAGCTGAACTTGAATTTTGAAAACAGCTACTTCAATTAAAGCCTTAAAACACATGCCAATAATGTAAAGGTTTTAGGAGCTTTATTTCTGAGTTCCACATCATGATTGTGTTTTAACCCTGTCAATCAACAAGCCTTTAGGAAGACAATTCTTTTTAGGCAATCAATGTGTTCATTATGCCCACCACATGGTTAGTAAAAAATGGAGAACTGGCCTAGGTGTCAGAGTAAATAATGATGAAAAACCGTCACTTAAACTTTTGGTCTCCATGCCTCCTAATTTCACAGTGATGTGGTGAAAACATGATAAAATAATCGATATGAATGTTTCTCATAAAGTCATTCAAATTCAAAGAACTATTATTATAAGCCTAATATGTGTATCCTAATAAACTCTCAAAGGCATACTGAGAATACAACATATCAAAGAGATCATTGATGCATTTCTATAAGTTGAAAAACTAAATCACAATAAAACAACAACCATCCCATTAATTCAGTTAATTCACATTAAGCATGTATAGAGTGCCTGCTACATCCTGAACATTGGAGACATAGTTCCTGTGGTCTCAGGATAGAAAAATTAGTAAGAATGGTACTCACTATCTGGAGCTTACTGTTGTTCCACTGACTATAAATGCATATTATCTGATAAATAATGAAAAGGATCACATCGTATGAGCTGGACAGTTACTTTATTTGACCTCATAAAACAGACATAAAATAAAAACAGGACACTGATGCTGCCATCTGAATATCCATTAAACATCCACATAACATATTTGACTCCCATAAATATGTGAGCTTGAATAAAACAAAAAACAAATCCCAAACCAAACAGTAAACTCTTGCTTAGAGTTCTTAGAGAATTATCTTATTTCTTTAATAGATATGTGCACAGGAAGTTTGAGAGTCAGCTCTCTACCCCCATTAAAAGAGCTCTTCTCTTGTTCCCTCGGACACATGGACGCAACAGAACCACCTCCCGCACTAGGTGGTTTTGATTTGAATAGCCGGTCTCAAACAAGTTGGACTTTACCTTAACTGGAATTTATCCAACTCAAATATTGCCAGTGCCATTTACTACTTTCATTGAAAAGAAAAAAAAAGGCTCAAAATAAACTTGGACTATACTCTTGGGGGTTGGGAATTCACAAATCCAAGGAAGAAACTTTTGGTTCCAGAGCTGAGTTATAAAGGGAAAAAAGTATCTCAGCATTTCAAAAATTGCTTAGAAGGGAAAAGTTCTCTTTGCATTATGAAGAAATTGAACACAAGAACTATTCTCTCAAGTGCACAGAAAAATTTTTAGTCTACTTCTGATAAGAAGAACATAAATGAGTGTTTGAAACTAAAAAGGGTAGTTTCTCAAAACTTATATTTTTGCCTTTGCGGTTTTTTTTTTTTTTTCTAACTAAATTGAAAGTGACCAAAGGGATTCTGAAAGAACTCCATTGTTCAACACTATCCTATAATTATAGAAGTAGTTTTCACTAATCACTAAAATAGTTTAAATAATTAGAAATTACAATTAATACCACTTGAAGCCCTGCCAACCTAAAAGACACAATTTTGCAGTGGAAAAAGAAAATTAGAATGTTTAATTGTAGAAGGAAGAAAAGAAATATTCTGACTGAAAGAATGAACTAAATTTGGATTAAAATTATACTTCTCTTTTTGTCACAATACCACAATTGTTTGTTTCAATCAGAAGGATGGGTGGGCAGGGGGAAGGTAGAGAAAAGGGGAGAGGGATCAAAACACCTTGCTTAGTAATAGTCCCTTCCTATGTCTTTCCGTCCCGGGAGGAGTGCCCCCAGGAACACTGCATTGCCAGCCCATTTCTCACTGACCCAGCAAGCACACACAGATTTTCCTATCCTGGAAATCTTTGCCTCTAAGAGAACTAATAACATGATCCCATTACACTTACACTTCAATTGAACTTGCAAATGAAATTTGCAGACTAGGATGATCAATTGTATTTCTTGGCTTGATTCAACTTCAGAGCCTCACCGCCAAAACGCTGACTGTGTAAACTCACTGAAACTAATCTGAGCCTTTCTTTAAGCAAGTTCTATCCTGACCAGGTTGCTTTTTTTTTCCCATCAAAATAAATGCAAGCTCAAATACTGGGTGGAGTTAGCCCCTATGATTATTACAAACCACTTATCAACCAGACTGAAACTGACAGGAATAGATCCTGAAGACTGTCCTCTTTAATAGTCCTAGCAGTCAGGGACAACAATAAAAACAAAATTTATTATGTGCCTATGCTGTGCCATGCACTATGCTTGATCTTAACAATATAAGTCAAATAAAACAAAAGTGCTCCCCCAAAGCCATATCATTTATTCAACAAATTAATGTGCCAAGCACTATTCTATATGCTGGGATTAACAGCGGTGAACACTAATGCCCTTTTGAAGCTTACATACTGGTAGGCATAAACAGGCAATCTTTAAAAAATCCATAAGAAAAATAATATGGTATTTTAGATGGTGATAAAATTTTATAAAATAAAATTTAAAATAAGCTTGGAAATGGGTAAATAATGCCTATAGCAGGAGAGTCTTGGCTTTTTAAACAGGGTGGTCAGGGAAGGCCTCACCAAGTATGTGATATTTCAACACGAGAATGTTACCTTTGATGTGAAGGTGGAGGTGAAGGAGTAAGCCAAAGTGGCTATCCGGAGAAAAAGTAATTGAGGCAGAAGGAAGAGCCAGTGAAAATGGCTTAGGGCAGGATTATGCCTGGCAGGAGAGGACCAGCAAGAAGATCAGTATAGCAAGGAGGGAGAAAGAGACAAGGTCACAAAGGTTTCATATATATATATATATATATATATATATATATATATATATATATACTTTGATCATTGAGGAGGCTATTATGATATTCCAGGCAAGAGATGGTGGGGAGGGGACAAGGCTGGTAGCAAGGAGACAGGGTCAGAGCCTGAACATGTAAGTTAGAGCTCTTTGATTATATGCAACAGAGAACCACTCTACCAAAAGGAAAACTAAAGAAAAAAAAACCCACAGAATATTGGTGAATCTCATGAAATTGACAGGGGATATAGGAAACCAGATTTGGGAACAGGAAAGGAGCAAGGCCAGGCTTTGCTTAGCCATCAGGGCAATATTCCTGGAATGCATAAGCTCCAACTGTTGCTTCTGACTTCGCACCATTCCACTCAAGATTCAATTAACCAGGAAAATTCAACTTTCCAAGCTTAGGTCACATGCCCATTTCTTGGCTCATACCCAGCAGCAGAAGGTGAGAACCAATCCTACAATCTCTTGTAGGATTCCAAGGCCGTTTGATTCACTCGCCCCAGTTCCTCAGGACTGCCCTCAGTAGGAAAGAGATAAACACTGCAGTAGGAAACCTGGATGCTAATAATAAGAATTAATGCCAAGAAGCCTAGACTAGGAAGTCATTTATGTCCATTAGATACTATTTGCTACCTAGTGGATACAGGCAGAATTATCAATGAAAGATATCGCAGAATAAAACCTGTTTCACAAATTGACCCATCCTTTTCAGTAAAAAGATAGTGGTGATGTCCAGTTGTCATTTTACCCTCTCTAGATATAAATATAATCCTGGTTCTTAACAGACTACCGTGGAGATTATTTTGCTGCTGAGTGGTCAAGTTTTTGCTTGAAAGGCCTTAAAACTCTAGATATGCCATTTTGAAAAATATTTAATTTGCTTTTTAGGCCTGCATAATATAGAACAGATATCTATTACACCTTCCTCTCAGAAGAATCAAAGGAAGTATATTTTAACTTGTTCATAGATAAATAACCTTGTGACATTCTGACTATAAACAGCCAAAAAAAGGTTCAAATATGTCTCTTACATCATTATTTTTACTTTCTTTAGTTTCTTTCCTTTGAACAGAAGATAGAGCTGCAAAACATGATAGTCACTCTTTCTTTTAGTAACATAGTATGCAGACCCTCCAGCTGATATCTCCAGGCTACAAGCTGGTGATCTGAGCCTTCAGACCTTCCAAACAAGCAGCTGCTGCTCTGATCTAGTCAATTTTGCCCCTTAGGAATGCACATCTTGAGATGCCAGATTTTCCCATTTTTAAAAAGAAGATGGAATTCCAGATTTTTAAAATGTGAAACCTCTAGAATGCTGGAAACTTTGGAGTTTGGGTTGTTTTGTTTTTAGTTCTAAATTTTAAACTTTAGAAAACTTTAAAAAACTTAAAAATTTTTCTACTCTAAATAGGTCAAATAAAACACCTAAGTGTGACCTCTCTGGTCTCCACACACTTTCAAAGTGTGATCAAACTTCCATAGAGATCCCTAGACTTCTTTTGCCTATTTCCAATAATAACAACACAGTCCTTTCTTACCTTCATGGGAACCAGATGAAGTCTATGGCAAAGACATGTGATTCTCTGATAATTCCCATTATACTCCAACTGCAAGCACAAAAGGATGCATGCATTTAGAGCAATTTTAAAATGCCATTTTCCAGCGAAGATACAGAAATACCGTGGCTTGCTGCTCTCTGTATAATGTCCAGAACCACAAAGGGAGTATTGTGACACTAGTTGGGGTGAGACTGCCTTGCTGATTGGAGCAGCCCATGAGAGACACACGAACTTATCTAAAAGAGTCACTTAAGCAATGAAGTAACTGATGCTAGGAAAGAAAAAAAAATGTGTGCTGCAACAGGACCTCAGGGGAAAAAGCCACAATTAGGAAGGAGGCTCTTGTTAATATCCCCAGCCCGCCTTCCCAGTTCTTTTAGATAGATTGGCTTCTTTAAGTCAACTGTGCACCATGAACAAGAGGCTTCACGTACGACACAATGGACCAAAAAAAGCAAATTTCTAAAAGCAATGGAGAAGAAATTTTTATGGAATGTGCTCAGAGAATTGGTTAGTCAGTAGACATTTATGTAAATATTTTTAAAGGTATTTATAAGTGACCTAATCCAGACAACAAGGCTCCTTTTTGCATTTTTTTGCTCAGAACAGTGGAAGCTTTATTCAGAAAGTCTATGTGAAAGAAACATATTTTTTCCATCCCGTGGCTAAGTATATGTAGAATCATTTCCTTTCTACAATGCAAACTTGGCCCATGGCTTATCCACTTACTCAGGTGAATGGCAAACCACAATCGGGAGAGGGAACAATAGGGCACTTCCCTGAGAAAGTGCTTTTCACCTTTTCAAAACATTTACAAACATTAACCAATTAATTGGTAGGTGAAGTTAGCCTTAAAAAAAGAGAGAGAATAAACTGCAGCTGAAGAGATTTCAAAGATTTCTCTACAAAGGGATTCAGTGTCTGAGTCTGAATTGGAACTTGGACCTTCCTAACATTAGCAGTTCAGAGATTGAACTCATGCAAACATTTGAAAGGTCAGCTGTTCATCAAATACTTTTCCAACTACAGCAAACGTATCCTTATTAAGTTTCTTTTGCAAAAGTTCCAAGGTGCTGAACACTCATCCATTGCCACCAATAATTAACAATTCCAAACAACCTAAAGACAGAGAACTTTTTGTAGGCATTTTGAAATTTCAGACTATCTTAGAAACAGGGGATGTGGGAGTGGTAACAGGCAAAAGGTATGCTAGGAAAAAGAACATCAGACTGAAATTTTCTCCCATTGGTTCTTCCCTTTTTCAAATAGATTTGCAGAAATAAGAAAATAGCTTGTCCTCTTCAAATAAAGAGTTTGTGCTTCCTGGAAATGGGCAGAGAAGTAAAAACCAAGCAAAACGATATCGTTTGGTCTAATATTTAAGATTCAACAAAACTTGGAGGCATAAATGGGCACTACAGTCATTCCTTATTCTATCCAGTTAACTTAGCTTCAAATATATCTGCCAAGAGTTTAATGACTTTAAAAAATTACCTGAAGTCCATATCTACCATAAGTTATTTCCCTCGCATTCTTTCTGCACATCCAACACACACAAAAACTCACAAGCCCAATTTAAACAATACCATTTGTTATAGAACTTGGGAACTGAACAGCTACCAGCTTTAAAACGTTTGCCTGAGTCTCACACCCACACACTCTTTTATTCTAGTTTCTACATGGCCATGGTTAACCTGACAGAGTTATGTGATGAGCTATGTGGTACATCAGCAAAAAGAGAGGACTTTTGTGGAAGCAGGGTTTAAATTTCTATGTCAGATTCAAAATTAATTAGAAATGAAATGGTAGACCTAAATGTAAAAAACTATTAAACTTCTAAAAAAAAAATCTCTACGACATTGGATTAAGCAAAAAATTTCTTAAGCATGACACAATTAGCACAACCAAGGAAAAAAATAGGTAAAATGAAGTTAATAAAAATTTAACATTTTTGCTGTCCAAAGACACAATTAAGGAAATGAAGCCATTGGATAGCAGCAGCCAGGGCTGCTCACCTCCAAGGCTGAGGGCCTTAACAAGGACTTCAGGGTGACCAACAACATGAGCAAGCCAGGGTACAGCCACCACTGCCACCCAACTAAGCATACATAGTTCAAGCTGCCATGTAGAAAGTAGCCACGAAGGAATGAGCCTTCTATGCATCATAAAACCCCATAATTTAAAATAAAATAAAAATGCAAGCCACAGACTCAGAAAATATTTGTAAACCATATATTTGACAAAGGGCTTGAATCCAGAATATTTTTGAACATACATACAACTTGGTAGAAAGAGGATACAAAGCCCAAATTTTTTTTTAAAGTAAGCTAAAGATTTGCACAGGCTATGACAGAAGATATGCAAATATACAACAGGCCTAAGAAAGATGCTCAACATCATTACTCATCAAGAAAAGGCACATTAGAACTACAACAAGAATGACCACTAAACATCTACTAGAATAGCTAAAGTTAAAAAGACTGACTATATCAAGTGTTGCCAAGGATAAGAACAACCAGACTCTAATATACTGCTGGGGAGTGCAACACAGTATAGCCACTTTGGAAAACAGTATGGCAGACCCAGCAAACACACTTCTAGATATTTACCCAAGATAAATGAAAACCTATTTCCACACAAATAAATTTACATGACTACTCATAGCAGCATTATTGATGATCGCCAAATACTGGAAATAACCCAGATGCCCATCAACTGGTGAGTGGGTAAACAAATCAGAGTATATCTATGATATGAAATACTACTTATCAATAAGAAAAAAAAACAATACAGATAGATCTCAAAAGCCCTCTATATTAAGCAAAACAATCCAGACTGAAACGATTATCATATTGTATGATTCCATGTGTATGACAACCTGGAAAAGGTGAAACTACATTGACAGAAAGTAAAATCAATGATTACCTGGAGCCAGAGGTCAGGAGGAAAGATAAAATGCAAAGGGACACAAAGACTACTTTCTGGAGTAATAGAATTTATCTATATCTTTATATGGTAAAGGTTATAATAGCTATATACAATTACCAAAATTCATTAAACCCTATACTTCAAAGTGAAACTTATTTTATGTAAATCATACTTCAATAAAGATAAAAAAAGAAATAAATCACCATGTCAGGAAGTTTTCATTTACTCTTGTTGTTCTACAAAATCTTGCTCTTTGGCAAGATTTTGAACATACATACAACTCAGTAGAAAGAGATACAAAGCCCAAATTTTTTTTTTAAAGTAAGCTGAAGAAGTCTGGGTACTTCACAATTTCATAACAGATTTGAGGTGTCCTTTCAGAATGAACCCATTAAACATTGTGCATCTGTGATGTGTTTTGATATTGTTTTAGGTCAATAAGACACATCAGAAAACTGTCTTATTGACCTAAAACAATATCAATGATTTGACTTTCTCCTTAGTCACCTTCAGAATGCCATTTCCTTTTTTTTTTTTTTTTAATTGTACTTTAGGTTCTGGTGTGCATTTGCACATCATGCAGGATTGTTGCATAGGTACATACATTGCAATGTGGTTTGCTGCCTCCATCCCCGTCACCTATATCTGGCATTTCTCCCCATGTTATCCCTCCCCAACTCCCTACCCCCCGCTGTCCCTCCCCTAATCCCCTCCAACAGACCCCAGTTTGTGATGCTGCCCTCCCTGTGTCCATGCCTTCTCATTGTTTAACACCTGCCTGTGAGTGAGAACATGTGGTGTTTGATTTTCTGTTCTTATGTCAGTTTGCTAAGAATGATGGTTTCCAGATTCATCCATGTCCCTACAAAGGACACAAACTCATCATTTTTTATGGCTGCATAGTATTCCATGGTGTATATGTGCCACATTTTCCTTGTCCAGTCTATCATCAATGGGCATTTGGGTTGGTTCCAGGTCTTTGCTATCGTAAAAGTTGGTATACTCACAGTGGAATGCAATTCAACAAGCCTTCATTGAGCAAGTGTCTGCTGCCTTGAACTCTGGAAACAGACTGCTACTAAATTGATTCTAATTACAGGTCTACCACTGAATAGTATCACCTTGGACAAGTTATTTATCTGTGCTCAGCTTCCCCATCTATAAAATGGAGGTAACAGCCATGCCTACCTAATAGGGCTATTCTGATGATTCAATGAGCTAATTCATTAAAAGTTCTTAGAATAGTGCCTAGCACAAAAACAATCACCTTGCCTTTATCATTATGTGTGTGGTGCTAACACTACACAGAGGATTTGTTTTTGTTGTTTGTTTTGATGAGCTCACAGCTGAGCAGAGAGAAAGGGAACTAATAATATATCACAAGGGACACAAAGAGAAAAATGTTTAGTGTGAGAGTACAAATGTATGCACAACTTTGTGGTGGTAGTGGGGAGCTTGTCAAGGAACCCTACAAGAGGAACTAAGTGTTGGAGGAAAAAAGGGAGTGTTCCAGACAAAAAGGAATGCAAGTAATAGTTATGACCATGCACTAAATATCTGTTATATGCTATAAACGCTGCTATCTATATATTTTACATGGGCTATTTCTCTTGTAATTGTTGCGATAACCCCATGAGACAGATACTATAGTACCCATTTTACACAGGAGCAAACTGAGTGTAACACATTATCAATCACTTGCTTGAGGTCACACAACTAGCACACACCTTAAACAAGGATCCAAACTGACCCAGAAACTTGAGCAGAGAAAAAAAGCATTGCAAAACATTTGGCTAAATTTTGGGAAAGTAAAGAGCTCGATGTAATTAGAACACAGATCAGTCTAGAAAGATGAGTTCCTAGGAGTCCTGCAACCAGTAACTGTATCTCAGACAGGGAACTCCATTACGCTTCTCCCAAGTAGAAAGCCTCTTATGGCCTGCTGCTTCCGTGAGTATTTAGTAAGCATAGTCTTCCTTTACCATATCATAAAATCAGTGGTAGAGGTTTCTTAACATGTGGTTCAAATCTGTGTCAGAAGCCCTGGGAAATGTGTTAGAATTACAGATTTTTGGTACCACACAGGTCTATGGAATCAGAACCTCTTTGACCCCCAACACTCTTTTTTAGCAACCTTTTCAGGTGTTTCCTATGTACACCAACATTTGAGAGCCTCAGTGGTGGCAGATTTACTGAGAACTCTGCCTCTCAGGGCTCCAAGAGCTGAGCTCTGAAACTTCAATGTACATACAAATCCCCTGGAAATCCTTTAAAAAATCAGATTCTCTGATTCGGTGGGTTGGAGGGATAAAGGGACTGAATTCTGCCAGATGTTGCAGCCATTGCTGTTCTACAGACCATGCTAGGGGTCACAGGGTTGTAGACTATCCCACCCAGATTTCTTCTCTGCTTCCACTATCTCTCTAGCTCTTGTTTATCTCCAGACTACTTCTTCTTGCCCAGCTTTAGTACACCTTAAAATTACCTTCTATTTACCGACTGTCTAAAAATGCTGAATCTTTGCTGAGAGGAGATGATCAAACGGTTTTTATTTTCATACACTTATTTTTGAAAAATGATACTTTTAAAAAAATGTTTTTTGGCTCTCTGGAATTGCTCACTGAGATTCTAGAAGAGCCTAAGAGGTCAGGATAGTGGTATATAAAATAGAGGGACTGATGGTAACAAAAGTGTGAAAAATGAACTTTCTTTTGTAATGTAATGCACATACTCATCTAGCCCTTTTAACATTTTCTTCAATACACTCTTTTAAGTACCGTAATGAAATTAATAGTGCTGCTGTCTCTGGAGTCATCAAGGATTGACTAAGGAGGAGTCTTAGTCAGAATAAATCTCCTTATTTAGAACTTAAGAACCTGAGCTCTCTGGTCTCCTGTGCAGACATGCTCTGGAAGCCTCTCCTTACTGGCACTCCTGCAGGGAAAGAGCTGTGTGTAACCAGCTGCCAAGACTTCAGCTCCCTGGCACTAGGCAATGGCAAAAGCCACTCTAGCTGAAAGGCATCTTTTGCCCTCTGGGTGAGAATGGCTGCTTTAGAAAATGGCCTTAAGTTCCTAATGGCACTAAGTTCCTAATAAGTTTTTTTCTCAGTGCTATCATATTTTCAAAGCATTAATCCTTGCAAAGGTGCAAGACTTCCATTTTATATTTTGCAGGGCATTTCCTAATGTATACTAACTTGGACTCATTCCTGGCTTTGCCATTCAGTTACTTTATCTTGTGGTTAAAGTGCTTCTGTTTGTTGTTCCCACTTAATTCAGATTAATTAAACAGGCACTTTCAGGAAGGGGTTGCATTACCCACTCTATAAAATAGGCCTGCATGCTGAGGGTTACCTAGAGGCAATTTATTTAATTTGGTGCATTTTAGGTGAAGGAAATAATTTGGTCTGAAATTCCACCTCTTTGCCCCAAAGTCTTAGTTCTCAAACTAAAAGAAACCACCAATCCAATTTCTAGCCTGCTGTTAAGAAGCATGCTGTCAATGTAGAGACAAATCTGTACTTTGAAAACAAAATTAAGACTTTCTTTGGTACTTAATAAGCCCTTCTAGATGGAGTCAACCATTTATGGGAGAAACCAAGGAGGATTCTAAACAAATGGAAATACAGATGGTCCCTGACATAATTTTTTAACTTCACTATGGTGCACAAGTGATATGTATTCCATAGAAAGATATATGATATTCTCTTTCTCCCTCTCTCTCCATGCTGGACTGCAGCACTGAGCCGCAGTTCCCAGTCAGCCGCACAATCATGAGAGTAAACCACCTACACTCTACATCATACTATGTTGTTGCATGACTTTGCCCAACTGTTGGCTAACATAAATGTTCTAAGCATGTTTCAGTTCATCATAGCTAGGCCAAGCTATGATATTAGGTAGGTGAGGCGTATTAAACGCATTTTCAATTTATACAATATTTTCAAATTAACAATGGGTTTACCGGGACATAACCCATTTGTAAGTGAAGGAGCATCTCTAAATATAGTTCAGTTTTCTCCCATTTTTGCTTCCCTCTCCTTCTACTTCCCTCTTTGTGATTTACCCCAATTACTCATTCATTTAGTATTTTTTCTTTAATAGCAACTATGTATTATACATACATAGGATCTATATATGTAACTTTAAATAAGTCAAATACAGTCCCTGCTCTCACAAAATTTATCCTCCTAATGGAGGATATGGGAGAAAGCAATCGTAATATAACATGTTACATTTTTTATTTACAGTAATTGCCAACCAATTCTGGCCACGATCTGATGCTTACTTTCACTCAGTAGGTTCAAATTTACAAGGTTGGTTATTTCTTCCCAGGCAGGGTCACTATGCCTACAATTTGTGTAGTTGTTACTAGAGAACAAAATGGAGTCCTGAATTAGGTAATATATTCCCGAGGGCTTTCCCCAGACATACCTCTCAGAATATTAATAATTGAGAATAATTTAGAATATAATTGAATATTATTAAGATTATATTAATAATTGAGTCCATTTTTCTTATTGTATAAAAGAAGGTTTTACTAAACTAATAATATAAATAGAAAACTACTTATTAACATTGCTAATTATACAAAAAATATAAAATATATAAAGCATAGTTTTAAAACTACATAACATTACGTTTAAAAAAATGCATGGCTGGGTGCCGTGGCTCATGCCTGTAACCCCAGCATTTTGGGAGGCCATGGTGGGGGTACTGCTTGAGGTCAGGAGTTTGAGACCAGCCTGGGGAACACAGCAAGACAAATTTATTTATTTACAAAAATAAATAAAGCAAATCCATACAAATAAATTGGTCCCTTCCAACATATAACCTTGACTCCCATCAGTACTTGTTTAATATAGCTTTGCTTCTTAGGTACTATGATGTTGTGATATAATAAGAAATAAACATTTGGTCTTTGTCTCCAGTTCCTGGCACAGAGCTTCTAAAACACTAGTAATTTCCTGAGTAATGGAAGTGAAAGCAGCATCTTTCATTGTTCATAATTAGCCACTTCCCACCACACTTGAGTTTATGGTAATGAGGTGAGTCTTGGAGGATGGAGGATGGAGGATGATTAACAGAGGAACCAATTATGTGTTTAGAGGATTGAAACCTTCAGCCCCGTCTAGGGAGGGAAGAGGAGCTGGAGATTGAGTTAATCATCAAAGGCCAGGGATTTAATCAATCATTCCTATATAATAGAGCCTTTATAAGCAAAGGTGTTGGGAAAGTGTCTAGGTTGGTGAATGTGTCCACTTGCTAGGAAGGTGATACATCCCAAATCTATGGATACAGTAGTTCCTGTAACTGGGACCATTCTGGACTTTGCCCTATCAACCTACTCATCTGACTGTTCATTTGTATCCTTTAAAATATCCTTCATAATAAACTAGTAATATGAAGTGTTTCTCTGAGTTCTGTGAGTGGTTATAGCAAATTATCAGACTTGAGGAGGTGTCCATGTAGCCAGGTCAGAAGCATAGGTAACCTGGGGACCCACTACTTGTGATTGGCATCTGAAGTCGGGGGCAGTCTTGTGGG